AGAGTGTATTTTCCACGGGGGCATGCACTCCACCCTGTCAACAAGCTCAGGCAAGAGGACTTCACGGCCACAGTCTACAGATGGGAAACAGGGGACCAGCGAAGTTGAGGCACTCGCTAGGATTGCCCCTCTCCTGCCTGCCCTCCCCATCCTCCTGCTTCCTTCCCCAAATGCACACACCTTTTCCAGTGTGTACCCACCTAGGTCCTCATTAGGCGATTCTTGATGTCCTTGTCCTTCGGGGTGGGTGCAGGAGGAGGGGCCTAGAGACCTCAGTGCCCCTCATCAGTGGGACTGAGCTTCGGGGGCAGAGGGAAGCCGGTGGGGATTGGGGCTCCTTGCCCAGCCCCCTTCGCTCCCTACTTAAATGCCCCCCTTCCTCTTCCCTCATCCTCGGAAGATATACTAACCCTTCACGTAGGCTTAGTTTCTGTTTATAAAACTCACCGCATCAATCTTTGTCTCTGTTCCTGAACGTTGGCTCCATTTGGCACTGGAGAAACTGAGAGCAAAAGATTACTTGACTTTTTCAAGGTCATTCAGAGGAGCAGGGACCACAGCCCAACCCCTCATCTAAGGCCAACTCTGCATCCTAATCCAAGGCCTGGATACCCAGACGTGGCCAGGCCTCTGCAGAGACCTCAGGCAGCTGTGACTTTGTGGGGAAGAACAGAAGGCCCGTGACCACCTAGGGCACTGCCATGACAGGGCCAACAGTCCGGGATGGAAGGCCCAGATGTCAGGCTACAGGTGGAGAAGGAGTGCAGGGCGGGGGTGATCCTGGTTCCCCTCTGCCCCTGGCCCTGAGTGGCTCCTCAGGCCATCCCTTGGCAGCCGTTCTCCTACCTTCAGGGTCACACAGCATTTCTGTCTGTAGGGGGTCTCACTGTTCCTCTGCCGCAGCTTATGGGTCACCCTCCAGAGGGAGTGAGCCAGCTGAGTGACCATGACCGTGATTCTTGTGGCGAAAACCCCGACCTTCAACCTCTCTCACCTCTTTGTCCTGACACTTTACTCTCTTAGTTTCTATTCCAGTCCCTCCTCCGCGGGATCTGACTCAATTATTCCTTTGCCCACCCCCCGCCCAGTTGGCGTCTGCAGGGGTGTGGAAGTGGGAGAGAGCAGGTGAGTTCTCCGGAAGGGCTCAGAGGTCCTGCGTCCTGCTCCACAAATGCCAGGACGCTTTTCTCCTCTCTCCATCTCCTAATGTTTTGGCTCCTTGTTCTCCTCATTACCTTCCTCTGTTCCTCTTGCTCTTCGGGGGACTCGGGGACACAGGCACAGAGGCCCCGGCTCCTGAGGGCAGGTGCGCGTGCCCGCTGCTGTCCGCTCGCTCAGGCAGTCGCACCCCACCACCTTCAACCCCACCTGCAGCGTCACAGGCCCTGGGACAGAACCAGCTGGCCGGCCTTCGAAGACGCGGGAGGCCACGGGCAAGGCGGGCCCCCTGCTGGCCCGCATCCCTGCCCCCCGCCGCCCCCCCACCCCCGGACGGCACCCTGTCTCCCTCCTCTTGCGAAGCCCCAGAGGCCGCCCGGGGATTCGGGGGGCCGGACCGGGGACTCCGGGGCGGCGGCGGGAAGCGGGGCCCTGGCTGAGGGGAGGAGGGAGGCCGGGCGCAGCCCCGTGCCCCGTGGCAGCTGGCCAGGTCGTGGAGCGGAGCGCAGCCTGCGGCTCTCCCAGGGAAATGTGATTTCCCCTTGAGTGAAGCGGACTGTGCAGTGTGGAAATTGGCTCTTTTCTGAGCGAGCGGCGGCTGTTCTGGAGTCGGGGCGGGCTGGGGCCCGCGGGAGGCCGCGCCGGCCCCTGGAGTGAGCCGGGAGCAGCCATGTGCTCAGAACTCATTAGGGATAAATCAAACCAGTACCAGCATGAAGCCAACACCCTCCCCCCCCCCCCCCCCCGCGCCTCGGGTCCCCACCCCCTCCGAGACCCCCTACTACCACCACCTCCTCCTCCTCCTCCGCAGCCCAGGCCCCCTCCCCCACGCCAGGGAGCTGCGCCCACCGCACACACAACCGCACACTCAGCCTGCCGCCCACTCCAGGAGTGGGCCTCCAACGGGAGCCCTGTTCCTTCGCAAATAAATCCTGGTTGTCTGGTTTTTGTTTGTTTGCTTTGGGGAGGGGGTACTGGTAGCAAGCCTAACTCCCCGGCCCCCAGGCATACAGCCCCTGCAGCCTTGCCCGGAGCATGGCCCTGGAGCTCACGTTCAGGCCCTCTCATCTTCCCACCACCATGGCGCCTTCTTTCCAGGCCTGCCCCTGCCTCCCAGGAGCCCCCCCCCCCACTTCCCGGCCACATCGGCTCCCCCACATACATCCCCCTGGGGAGATGAGAGCACCCCGGGGGGCCCAGCCCAGGGAGTATGGCCAGAAGGTTCCTTGGGCCCGATCCCTCACTCTACCGGCGGCCCAGGGGACTTCACCGCAGCAGGACACAAATCCACAAATCGTCCACAAAAGGGTGAGCTTAGGCTGAATGCGCTAAGTGGAAACTCATTTCCCCACCAAAGGAAGAAGGGAGGAGAAAGAAAAGCTTAAGAAAGAAGGAGGGGGACGGGACAGGTGAAACTAGATGTTGGTGGCAGAGAGGGGGCTGCTCTGCCCGCCGTTCTGGGGACTGAATTTGAGGAGTACCGGAACCTGCTGGTTCTTGTCAGCAGAACCAGGCCCCTGATCATCACCTTTGTTTCTCCCACGCCTCCCCTAGGGAGAGGGGCCAGTGATGTAGCTAAGGAGCCCGGAGCTGGGGTGTGGGCCTCTGACTCCGCCTCATCACCTCCCCACTGGAGACCCCAGGGGACTCCAGTTTCCTCAGCTGTAAAATGCATGGCATGGGCCATGATGTCCAGCCCTAACACTGTGGTTCAATAGTTGCCTGGGTCAGTGAAAGGCATTCCCAGCCTCATCTGACTGGTTCAGGTATGAAGCCTCTTTCTCCCCAATTCTGCAGGTAATTTTCCGTTGAACACCAAAGGAAACACCATATTGCCATATTTGGAATCAGGTCTCTGTCGGGGTGGGGTGGAGTGGCTTCTGGTGCCCCACTCACACAGGGTGCTGGGGCCCTGCCTCTGCTGGTGGAGCTAAGCCAGGCTTCCAAAGGGTTCCAGGACTGGGGCAGAAACCAGAGGGTAGGCTAAGGTGCCACAGTTAATAGAGGCGGGGGCGGGAAAAATCTCCTGAGCTCTCACACTCGCTGACAAGTTCATCCGGGGGTCTCTCACGAACCACCTACTGCGCGTGCCAGACTCAGTGACAGGCACTAAGCAGAGAACACCACCATCCACCACCCCCACCCCCAGATCCCTCCGAACTTAGAAATGAGACTTTGATGAAAGTCCCTACAATACAAGGTGGGAAAGTGATGAAGGCCGTGAGAGAGGAGATGTAAAGCGCTTTCAGGTTTCAGATAATATTTGCAAAATCCTTCCTGTCCCTCCCAGGCCTTTCTCTGGCATCCCTGTCTTCAAGCAGCTACCAGGAACACCAAACGCAAACCCTACACCCCCCTGGGGCCTAAAAGCCAGACCTCAATCCCCAGAAAAGGGCTGTTCCCCTGTGCGTGTGTTCCCAGGAGGGAGAAGGAGGGTGCTAGGTGAGGGGCAGGCAAAACGTAAGCCACCTTTCCCAAACACCCTCTCACTCCACTCCAGCCTCGCCTGCCACTAGTCAGGAGCCTGGGACCTGAAGCCCTGGGTTTTTCTTGGAGCTGCTTCTCTGTTCCTGCAACGGGGCCAGGGAGGGAAGGGGAAGAGGGGGCTCAGGGCCTGAACCAGCTGGGCAGGTGCCCCTCCCTGTGTGGGCTTGGCTGGTCCCCCCTTCGTCCCATCTCAATACCTGCCCCTCCCCAGCTCAGCAAGGCTGGGGCCCAGGACGAGCAGAGGGGAAGGGCGGAGGGAGAGGTGTGGAGGGTGGGAAATGGACACAGGAGAGCGGGGAGAGGGTACATGGGGACAGAGACTCCAACGGGCTGTGAGTTCTGGGTCCTTGGGTTCTTCTTTCCCATAAGCTCCTGCTAAGTGGTGGTAACAGTGATAGCAGTCTTGGGGGACAGACCTCACCTCCCCGACCCCTTCTCCCCAAGCACATTGCAGCCAAGCCCCACTTGGAGGGTGGAGGGAGGGGCCCATAGGGGCTGTAGCACAATGGTGGGGGGGGCGTCCTAGAAGGGGGAGCAGGTGCCTTCTCTCAGCAGCCGGCCCAGGGTGGGGGTTGGGTGGGGGTGGGCTGAGACCCAGGCCAAGGCTCAGGGCCCATCTGAGCATGTCGCCTGCTAAGGAGGAGCGGAGGCGGGGGAGGGGAGGGCGGGGAGGTGAATAAATAATAGGAAATAAAACTTCATGAAGCAGAAAATAAAAGGCAGATTATACAGATGTGGCAATTTGAAGGATCATTGCCTCTGTCCTCTTTTTAACTGCTGCATCTGGAGTTTTGAAGCAGCTTACCCTCTCCCTCCCTCTGCCACGTCCCCGCCTGGCTGGAGGCCCCCACGGGGCCAAGGCACGAGTGGGGACAGCACCTCCAACCGCTCAGCCGGTGGCGGTCCCTAGCACCATACGAGGCTGCCCGGCCTTGGCTGAGCCTGTGGGGCTGGGGCAGAGGGTGAAGGGGGGGGCGCTGGGTGTTTCGGGGTGAAGCCCTGAGTGAGGTGCGTCTGGGGCTGCGTCTGTGTGAGGAAGGGGAGCATCTGCAAGACAGCAGGGTCTGTGTGAGGACAGGGTTCGTTATGAGGAGTGTGGACAGGGCAGCGATGGCAGGAGGGGACCTGGAAGGTCAGGAACGGAGTGAGGGAGGGCGCCCCTTGCCAAAGGGGGCTTTGGCTGAGGGGTAGCTGGAGGGTGAAGTCTAAATCTCTGTATCTTCCTGCAGGCAGCTTCCTTCTCCCTCTTCATCAAAATTCATTTGTTAAGCTTCAATTTGACACTGTGCCAGGTGCTATATAAACAGACATGGTCCCTGCCCTTAAGGAATTTCCAACCTAAGACACACACACACTGACATTTTGTTTATTTTATTTTAAATATTAATGTATTCCCCACCTTGTTCCAGAGAGGATTTGAGACAGCTCACAGGAAATGCATGCAATAAATTAGGAAAATACAAATAAGAACTGAAGCATGAGGACCACAGAAAATACACAGTGAGTGGTCCTGAGAAGCCACCGTTGAGCTGTAGATCGGCCTTGAGCCTCATGGTGGTGGCCAGGTGGAAGGGTTTCACAGTCCCTTACCTGACTGAGAGTCATCGCTTTTCTGTCCATGTACCTCCTCCAGACCCTGTCCGTGTCACACCAACGGAGACAAAGACGTCAGAAAACCAGAAGCTTCCGCCTGACACCAAAGGTGAGGCAAAGGCCCATTTGGCTCAAATATTCTCATAATCCCGTTGTGTTGCCTCTCAAATCCACTGTCACAGAACCATCACAGAATCATTAATAGAAACGGGGGAGTCAGAAGAGGACAGGTTTAGGGGGACAACACTAAATCCAGTCTTACGTGTAATAAGTAACATCTGTACAGAAACTTACCCGCTCCGGGAAGATTATTGAGGGCCACGTCCCGCCCAGTTAGAACTCCGGGACTGAAATCCAGCACGGAGACCAGAGCTGAAGGTTTATTTACATCAGGAGGCTTTCCCAGAAGCTATCCCGAAGGCCTCCAAAAGCCGCACCTGGGGGGAAGGCTGAGTTCAGGGGTGAGAGCAGCAAGCAGAGGAAAGACAGAAAAGAACGTGTAAGAAGGGGGAAGAACCGGGAGAACGCAGAGGCCAGAAGCCCGGGGCGCGGGGGTACAGTTTCGTGAGCTACACTTTTAGACTGCCGTTGTTGGGCCCTGAGCGGTGGAAACCAACTTGCCCAGCTCCTACCCTTGGGAAGCGTATGTTCTACTGGGAGCAGAGACAGAAAGAAGAGGGAAGGGAATGAGGGGCGAGCAGGGGAAGCGAGGGATGTAGAAAGTTACAGACGTAACTGGGGCAGCAGGGCTCAAGGAAGGCTTCCTGGAGGAGACGGCATCCAGATACAGTTGGTGTCCTCCCCTTCCTGGTACGAGTTGTACTCAGGATTTCTCTGCAGCTGGTCCCAGTCCCCATCCGTTGCGTGATACTGCCTCACCACCACCCCCATCTCAGAAGGTGGACTCTGACTACCCTAAGCCCCTGACCCTAGTGATTGGCTCAGAGAGGGGCACATGGCTCAAAGTGGGCAGCTCAGAGAGACTCTATTCCTGGACTTGAGTTTGAACTTCCCAAGAAGCAGATGGTCTCTATGTGCTAGACTGCCACCAAGAAGAGGGCGATTTGGTAGCTACTGGGGCCATCTTGGGACCATGAGGGCTGCTCCTGCCTCCTAGCCTAGGAGATGGAGCCCAGAAGAACAGAGGGGGGCAAGGCTCAGTGCAGAGCCCTAGTTGAAGCCTCACCTGACCTGGATATAGACTGTCCCATTATGGGAGCGATGAAATGTCCCCCTCCCTTTTTTTTTTTTTTTGCTAAAGCCCATTTGAGTTCAGATTTGTTACTTGCACCTTCCAGGAAGAAGGAAAGCAAAGGCCTTGCTTGCATTCGCAGAACCTAAGCCGGGCCCCAAGGAGGGGAGGGTGCATGTGGTAAGACCAGCAAGGCCGTGGACTAATAGCTAACTTGCTAGGCTTTCCTTCGGTGCCAGGCATTGTTCCGAGATGTTTATGTGCATAATTTTACTTATTCTTCACAAGGACCCTGTGAGGTAAATAGCATTATTATCCCCATTGGATAAAGAAGCAAACCGAAGTACAAGAGGCTAGGTAACTGGCCTGCAGTCAGCTAGAAAAGGGACCGCTGGGACTTGATACCAGGCAGTCCGACTCCCGGTCCCGGCTGCTGAGACCAGATCACGCTGGGCCTTGTGCAGGGCCAGACAGGTCTCTGGGTCAAAGGTCGCTGAGAGGTGAGGGACATGAAGGCTGAGAAGACATTGGATTTGAGGCTTAAGGCTCACCAGTGGCCCTTCTGGTGTGTCCCCGTTTCAGGGAAGGGTAGAGCAGAAGCCAGTTTGCAAGGTGTGAATGGGAGCCAGGTGTGAATGGAGAGAAACAGCTGGCAAAGACCACACATCTGTGGGTCTCAGCTACAGGAAGCGAAGAGTCACATGCAGGTTTTTCTGTTCCTTTTTCCTCGCGAGGGTGATATACTGGAAGTTGTTTGCAAGGGATAAGGAAGGGGGTAGAAAGTAGGCCCAAAGACCCAGAGGGTACCCCCGAGGGAGAGAGGTCATGGTAGGCAGGAGAAGCAGGGGTGGTGTGTGGTCTCGGGGAGGAGGTCAGTCCCAGGAATGCAGTGAGCACCTCTTCTTATAGCGAAGGGAGGAGGAAGGGACAGGTGAAGGTGTGAGCCACGTTTAGACGCAAGGGGGCAGAGACATCCAGGAAAGCTGGCAGAGGGGCGGTGGGGAAGAGGCCTGGTGGAGAGTGTGGCATTCAGGAAAGCCATAAGTATGTGCGAATATGTGCCGGCATGTGCGTCGGGGGGAGGGCGGTAAGGGAGGGAGAAGGGCCAGAAGGGGGATTGCCAGGTTTTCCTGTTTCCAGGCCATTGGCTTCCCCCCCCTTTTCATTTTTTTTTTATTTTAGACTTACAGAAAAGTTGCACAGGTTGTATAGAGGGTCTCCAGGCCTTATTCTGACTCTACCTATTGGCCTTATTGACTCAAGTCATTTCTTAAAGCAAGACTCCCAGGCTGACTGCCTCCCAAGCCATGAGCCTGTGCCTCTCCGGCTGGTACAGCTCACTCGGTGGCAGGAGAGGTCCTGTGTGACCAGGCCCTAACCCCCCCCCTACTGCCACGTTTCCCTTGCCCACCCCCCCCCCAGTCCTGCAGCCCAGCTCCTTCAAATATAGCCCGCCTGTTGTTGCCATCGGACTCTGAACCCCAAAAGGAAAGGACCCAAGCCCTGGGCCTCAGCGGCCTTTTACTCTTTTCTGGTGCCTGGCAAACAACCAACAAATGAATGTTATCAGCAGAAAGCCACACAAAACAGAGATGCCGGGAGACCAGGAAGAGGTTACATCTGGGGTATCACCTGGGTCATGGTAGGCCCAGGGCCCTGGAGGCTGAGCCCCCCTAGGAGGGAACGAAGGAACCAAAGACAAACTTCAGCCAGCCTTACAGGGCCTGAGCTCATCACCAAGAACCTGTGCCTGTCCCATCGTCTGCAAAGAGATGCACCAACCCACTTCCCAGATGGGAAAGAAAGTGAGGGTGGACACAAGGTCAGACAGAGGCCTGTGGGTCAGATCTGCCCCAAACCTCAGGACTGGGACTGGGAGCTCACTCATTTTTCACTTTTGTGGGGACAATTCTTTGGGGAACTCTAGGCTGCTCCCATATGGCTCCAGAAACCCTTTTTCCTGTCCATCTGCAGGAAGATGTCAAAAGAGTCGCAACCGTTTGCAAGGCTGACTTCTCCAGAAGGTGGGAGGCCTGGCCTGGACCCCTGTGGGTTTAGGAAAGTGGAAGGTCCTGGTTCTGCTGATGGTTGGGAACAAAGAGACTTAACTTCCTCTTCTTCAGGGAGCGGAGCTCTGCAGCTGGACACCCGGGCCCCACAAACTTGAAAGATACAAGCCCGCCCCCTAGCGGTCACATGTCAGAACTGCAGCCTAACTACGCAGTCTGCAAGCTGTGCCAGGTGGCGCCCTGCAGCCCGGATCTCTCGGAAGGCTTCAGGTGCCCTGGTGAAAGACAGGTGCCAGTTCCACACGAGCAAAGCAGCATCGAAGTGCCACATACATGCACAAATGCAGACAAACCTCCACCTTTTATTCTGGTTTTAGAAATATGGATACATGTTCAGTGAGATCAAATAACCCACTCAAGGCCAAGCTTGTGTCAGTCCTGGGGCAAGTCACATCAACCTGATGCTAGGTTTTCACCTATTAACTGCACATCAGTGACCCAAGCTGCTTTAAAAATATATATCCGTGCCCCTGACCCAGATCTACTGAATCCGAATCCCTGAGCAAAGGGTGGGAATGTGTCTTCAGCATGTCTCCCCAGCAAGATGAAGTGTGCCTCCATATGAAAGCAAGGAACCAGAGAACAGGATTGTTACCTCCGGGAGGCCAGAGATGTGTTTCAGTCATTCTGGAATGCCCTCGTCCTGGCCCATAAAAAGTGGTCAATATTATTTGTGAAATGAATGAATGAACAAATGAGTGGATGAACAAATGACTGAGGCCCCCTGAGGCTCTGACAGTCTACGCGCGCAGTGCTCCACACACACACACGCATGCACACACACCCCTACACAGGCACATAGACCCGCATAGGCACAGATGCGCCCGGGGGGGGGGGACACCCAGCCTGGCCCCCTGCAGGTGGCTCCAGCTGCGCACATCTGCCTGACCCTCCCTTCCTGACACATTTGTGCACACCTCCTTCTTCACTGGCCTTCATGTATTGTGTACCCACTGGGTACCCGGCCCGGCCCTGAGCCCTGGCCAGACACCCCTTGTGGTCCCCAAGGGCCAGCCCCACTTGGTGGCGTTCCAGACCCCAGGGCTGGCTTCCAGCACAGATGGGAGGAGAGGGGCCCTGGCAGGAAGGCTGGAGAGCAGTGCGTCAGCCAGCAGGCTGCAGACAGGCAGCAGCGGCCCTCTTGGCGGGCAGCCTGCTCGCACACTTGGCTGAACAGAGACAATGGTGGCTGCTTCGCCAACCCAGCCTCCTTCCCACAGGCAGAGCCTGAGGTCCGTGAGTGTCCGGAACCTCCCCCAGAGCCCAGCTGGGAGGCAGCCAGAGGGCAGCACAGGGGGACTGCCCAGGAAGGGCAGCAAAGCCCCCTGAGAGCTGGTGGGGAGGAAGGGGGGTCTGGAAGGTGCCCTGGTGCCCCTCCTTGGGAATGCAACTTTATGGGATGGGGTGTGTGGGAGGGAGCCAGCCTTCTACCTGGCTCTCCCAGGTCTCAGACCAGCTCCTTCCAAGAGAGACCTCAGGGGATGTATCACGGCCTCTCGCCTCTCGGCCTCTCCCAGGGGTCCGAACCTGGAGGACCTCCTTCCCTGCTCTGGGGAAACAAAGGCCCCTTGTTCCCAGGGCTCTCCATGGAGCTCTGGAGGCCCCAACCCCTTCTGGCCCTCACTGACCACCAAGGGCTCTGCTCTGAGGATTAGCAATTGGGTGTGTGAGGTGGGGCCTCTCTCATCTGCCCTGGGTGCGTGGATGATTGTAGGGAGAAAGGACACAAAGGCCCAGGGCCCCAGAGTCAGCCTCACCAAGTTTATCCTCGAAGCCCCCCCCCCCCAAGGCCTACCTGTCAGGGGGCGGGGTCGAGCCACCCCGCTCTCTCAGTCACCTGAGGCTGGCTGGGGTCTCCCAGGACCTCTCACTGCAGGTCACCTGACTCCCAGAGCAAAACCATCCTCAGGGCTGTGGCTCCCCTGGCTTGACTGCCCAGAGGCTTCCATTGCCCCAGCCTCCCTTCTGGAAGCTCAGGGCCCGCGGGTGCTCGGATTCTCAAATAAGCGCCGAGCTGCCCCCAGGCCCAAGAAATGTGGCCACTCTGGATTGTGGAAGGGGGGAGGGTGACATGGGAGTGCAGCCAAACCCTTGACCTCTGTCCTCCCTTGGGAGTGAGCAGGGACTGGGGCAGCTGGGGCTGCCGTGGGGGTCGGCACAGCAGTATTAGGAAAGCTCCAGTGAGGACTGCAGAGAAACAGGGCCTGTCCTTCAGCGGGAAAGGGGAGGGCCTCATCCCCCAACACGGACCCTGAAACAAGGCTCCTCCATGGGGTCTCATCTCAGGTCCCCCCCCTCCGAACACAGGGCCAGAGTCCATGTGGTGGTGCCAGCTTCAGAGCTGATTGCGGTTCCTCTTGGGTATGATCTTCCGGTAAGTTCTGCGCTCTGAGATGTTGCGCTTCACCTTGGCTGTGGTGGGGGCCTCTTCCTGGTGCAGGGAGGGGCTGGAGTGGGACTTCTTCAGGCTGGGCTTGGGCTCCTGAGTGCCTCCGGCTTCCCTCTGCAGCTGCTCTTCCCACAGGTCCAGGTCATCCGAGGGGCAGTGCAGACGGGCCACCAGCAGCTGCACGTAGGTCTCGTAGCGGCTTTTCTGCAACACACGGGCCCCACCCCTTAGCGCCACCCCAGCTCCAGGGCGGGAGGAGGCCGGAATCACGAGGGGCAGACTGCTCCCATGTGTACAAAGCTCTGGTGGTAAAGATTTCTGCAGAAAGAGGACTGGACCAACAGCCAACGTCTGTACTGAGCCTGAGCCAGCTGACTGTGCAGAACACGGGAGCCACATCGGTGCCCGACCCCTGCAGTTATCTGGACAGTATTATAAGCAGCCCAGCCCTGTTCTAACAGCCACCACCCTGTAGTGCTGTAACTAACGTCTCCAGAACATGTTACATCCCTGAGACACTAAGAGATCCATAACCCACTAGGCCTGATCTGTGCGGCACTGCACACAAACAGCTCACATCTGTACTGAAGCCTAATTGAGTCTGAATAGCATTTTAACAATTGGCATCTGGAGAGCGGGATGCTAACCACCTTCATCTGTTTAACACTCCAAAGGCCTCCGTAACTAGCAGCCTTCGGATACGGGTCCCAGTGTATTAAGTGCATGCTCATCCTCCACCCCACCAGATTCTCATCCCAGCCCGGGTGGCTGGGTGGCCCAGGAATCACTGTCTCCACTTTATAAGGAGGGGAATGGGGTCTAGGGAGGGGCAGGGGCTTGCTACAGGTTGCAGCTGCGCATGGGCAGGAAGAGGCTAGAATTCTGCAGGCAGAGCTGGGTCCTGTCACCCCAGGGCCCCTGCGAAGCAGTGTACCGACGGCTGAGGATGCACCTAACAAGCCAAGGGATGGGCCACAAAGGCAGGGAGGGGGCAGCACGAGGCCCCGCAAACACAGCCCGGGGATGACACGGACGCTCCCTTCTCTGGTCTCCACCTCTGGATGGCTCTGACCCCCTCTGTTCTCATACTGCCCCTCACCTACCCCTCCTGCTTCAGGTCCCAGAACATGCGCACTGACCAGAGGCGTAAGATGTAAGGGGGTGGGGGGTCAGCGGGGGGGGGGCGGTCAGGGGATAAAACAGTGCGGCATCGATCAGAGGGCTAAAAAGGTCCTTAGTTAAGACTATAAATGAGGCACGGCCCTGACTGGAGTAGGATATGAATTCATCAGGTTTGGACAAGTTGTTTAATATCTCCTTGCCTGTTTCCTCATCTGTAAAGTGGGGATAACGGTCCCTACCCCAGAGTTGTTAGACAACTAAACAAGATAATACAGGCAAGTAAGACAAACTCCATAAATACTGCCTATTAGTACTAGGTAGGTATTAGGGTAAATAATTCAACTAAAATACCGTTTCTACCTGCAATTTAGGTAAAGCCAAATACAGTATACTCTTAGGTGAAAGTGACAAAACGTCCCCTGTGAGTGTTTCCAGACAAGCACCTTCTAGGTACCCCAGGACAAGAAGTGAAGGGGTCTG